AAAAAAAAAAAAGAATATTTGATGGCTCCCTAGTACCTATAGAACTGCTCCAAGTTCTTCAGTCAGGAACTCCAAACCCTTTATAACCTGCTCTGGAATTCTTCCCGATTCCCCGGCAGCTCCCACGCATCCTTTACGGCGCTGCTAATGTGCTCCAAGGACTGGCTGCATCCAGCCTGCGCTGCAGGGCCCCGGCCCGCCCTGCTCCAGGTTGTGGGGGCAGGGGGCCTCATGATGCTTCTCCAGCTCTGAGCCTGCGGTCAGTCCTTCGTCGCCACTTGGACCTTGTCCACAACATCTGTAACCTTCGGAGGTCTTAAAACGAGAGCATTCTCCAAACTGTTCATGAAGGCTGGTTGGCGCAGCGTTTTGCTTTGTTTTGTTTTTCGAACAGGGTGTTCCTTTGTAGCCCAGCCTGGCCTCAAACTCTCAGCGATTCTTCCTGAGTCCTGGGGTCACAGGTGAGCACCATCACGCCCGGCTGGTGTTGCACCGTGCAGCCATGACCTTACCTCCCTCTCCTGGCTGCGGAGGTCAACGGGCCAGGAGACATCTCCATGGGCTAGAGGAGGAGGCTAAGCTTGGAGAGGCCCAGCGAGTCGCCTGGGGTCACACAGCCTCCTCAGGCTGCAGGGTGGGACGATCTCTCCTGACACCTGCTTCTGCCTGCGAGCCATGGCTCCCCAAGCCTTCCCCGTGTGACTACCAAGTCCCCAAACTTACGTGGTGAGTGCGTGTCCTACACATTGTTCAATGTGACCTCTGATAGCGCCTTCTGAGTGTTGTATCCCCGCCTGCCCTGTGGGGAGGCAGCACTGTGCCCAAGAGACAGACGAGGGAGGTCACAGGCGCTGGGTCCCGAGCACCCCTCCTTGGTCTGCCCTGTCCCTGCGTGCTTCTGCCCAGCTAAGGGCTGAGTTTGTTGCTTTCAGTACTGAAGGGTGAACGCAGGGCCTCTGCGCTGAGCTCTGTGCCCAGCACCATTTTTAAAAAATTTTGAGACAGGGTCTCAGTCAATTGCTACATTGCCCAGAGTGGGCCTGAGCTTGTGACCCTCCTGCCTCAGCCTCCCCGAGCGCCGGGATCACAGGCAAGTGTCACCATGCCTGGCAGGGAGGACAGAATCTGTGACTGCCAAGGTTTCCTGCCCTCCCATGAGCTTGAGGTAGGAGGAGGCAACTCTTGGTTTTGTGTTTTAATTTTGCTCCAAAGTCTCTGTGGGAAATGCCACTTGTAAGTCAGTGACTTCTCTCCAGAGCCAGGTGGGTGGCTACGCCTGAGTCCTCACCTCCTCCATGCTGCCCCAGGGCCCGCACCACAGACTGGCCGTGGCAGAGCCAGCGGGAAGATTTTTACAATTACACAAATAATACTTTCCAAAGGTAGAGGTGCAGCTCAGTGCTGTGGCTGTGGCATAATCTTTGTGGCTAAAACAGTCTCCTGCGGGCCCCTGCAGCTGCCATCTCCCTAGGTGCCCCACTCCGAGGCTGGCTGTGGACGCCCCCAAGCCACGGTGGCCTCTGCTGCCCGGAGAGCAGTCCCAGCCAGATGTGCTCCTCGGAAAGGCATCTGAGCAGGGGACAGGAGGCGTGGGGTGGGTGGCAGAGGGGACGGCCTGGGGGGTTCCTAGGGCAGGGGCGGAGAGCACAGGGGCCAGGATGGCGAGTGGTGGGGCTGCGCCCAGGCCTGCGTGGGCTGACAGGGGCATCACTTCCACTGCCACCGGGCAGCCACCTGCTCAGCGACTCATCCCTGGAGCCCCCAGCTGGCCCTGAGGATGTGATTTTTGTTTTTCTGTACTGGGACTGAACCCGAGGCCTCTGCACTGAACTATGTCCCCAGCTCTTTTCTTTCTTTCCTTTTTTTCTTTCTTTCATTTTGAGATAGGGTCTCACCAAGTTGCCCAGGCCTGGCTTAAAACTTGTGATCCTCAGGCTGGGGAGATGGCTCAGCAGTCTAAGCGCCTGCCTGGCAAGCACAAAGACCCTGGTCTGATCCCCAGTACCGCACGCAGTGCCGGCTAGTGAACCAGGCGTGCTGGTGCACGCCTGTAATCCCAGTCCTGGGGAGGCTGAGACAGGAGGATCACTACAAGTCCAAGCTACGTAGTGACAGCCTGTACCAAATAATAAATAAATATATAAAAGATTTTTAAAAAAACCAAAAACTTGTGATCCTCTTACCTCAGCCTCCCAGAATGCTGGGTAATGGATTGTGCTACCTCCTATTTTGTTTTTTTTTTTCCAAGTTTTATTGATAAACAGCAATGAGACAGTTTCAAATCAAATTGGAAGTACAGTTTCAACAAATAATACACTGCATATATTCTTCTTAGTGGTTAATTGCTGTACAAGATGCAGACTTGATATCCTATTTACAAACACCATTAGAACAAATCATTCTATTCATTAAGAGAATGCAACTATATATCTATCCCAACCACTTTGAAGACACAGATACAAAATGGACATTCATCGGTATACCCCTTTTTTTCTAAGTTCCGTTATTGAATATTATAGGTGTGTAAACTCAGCAAAATATTCTAAAAGAGTCCAGTAGAAAATATGAACGCTTCACGAATTTGCGTGTCATCCTTGCGCGGGGGCGCTGCTAATCTTCTCTGTATCGTTCCAATTTTAGCATATGTGCTGCCGAAGCGAGCACTCCTATTTTGTTTTTATTTTAAAGATCTTAATTGGCTTTATCTTCTATTCCAGAGTCAGGCAGTAGTTCATTTTCTAAAATAGAATGTGTTCCCCAGAGAATACTGTTTTTAAATCTAAAGCATCTGAGATGCCACATGACTGCGGTCAGGGCCAACCAGCAAAGCCAGAGAAGCATCTCCTTAGGTGAAGACAGCCTCCTAAGAGACATACGAAACAGGAGACAAAATCGATGGCCCCGGCTGGCTCCAGGAGGTCCCCCAGTATCCTGTGCGTCACCCCCCCACCCCGGGTGCCTGCCAGTCTCCCGCGGTGTATGGAGACAGGGTATGGGGCAGGGCCAGTGCAGGATGACAGTGTGCAGGGGCAGGATGGTCACGTGTGAGAAAGTGAGACATGCCCATAATCCCAGAGCTCTGAGAGGCTGAGGCAGGAGGGTCTCAACTTTTGAGCCCAGGACGGACAATTTAAGGAGCCCTTGTGTCAAAATAAAAAAATAAAAATAAATAAATATAAAATGAGGAAGAAGGGCTGGGGATGACAAGAATAAGGGGGCTCCCTGAGATGGGGCTCCGGACAAGGCCGGCAGGGGCCCAGGCAGAGGACAGAGCAGGAGGCTGCCCAGGCGTGGGGGCTGTGGCACCTGTGGGAAGAAGCAACGCGTTGTCCTGGGAAACAAAACATCCAGTGACAAAGATCACCGCTGACAAAAAGACAGGACAGTTCTTCCTGATGGTCCCAAAGAGGGCGACAGCAGAGTCCCAAATGAGCAGCACTGTCTCCGGCTCACCCATTCCCAAGGTGACAGGATGAACTCACCTGTGACACCATCAGTCAGTGACAGAGCCACCTGCACAGCCAACCGGCTTCAGCTTCAGCAAGGGGACAATGTGGTCGCATGGCTCCACCCTCCTCCTGCTCCCAAAGAGGGTTCTGAGGACCTCACTCAGGGGCAGGCTGGGAAAGCGCACACCTGTAATCCCAGCACTTGAAGGCTGAGGCAGGAGGGTCGCTACAAGTTTGAGGCCAGCCTGGGCTGTGGAAGGAGTGCAAGGCCAGCCAGTCTCCAAAACATCAAAATACAGACGCTGTTGGAAGGTAACAGGAGCCAAGGTGGCCTAGGGCTAAGAGGAAAGTCGGCTGTGCAGAGGGAGGCTGGCAGACAGGGCGGGCGCCAGCACTTGTTACTTCTGGGCCCAGCGGCACAATTCATCAACCCCCTCCTCTATTTTTTTTAAGATAGAGGCTCGCCTCAAACTCACAATCCAGGAGTCCAGCAGTGGTCCAGAGGGACCAGGGGACAGTGTAGGTCACAGCTGCACTAGAGCTAGGTGTGAAGACCTAGACAAGGCACCCCACAGCCGCCATCCTCAGACGGGGCCACCCCAACCACCCTGGGAGCCATGACGCTCGGCCAGAATCAGAGCAATCCGCAGCTTCGGCCGCTCCCACGGCGGCTCCTCCAGCTTCCCGCCCTGACTTAGAACCGACTCCTTCACTGCAAGCGGGACGCCGCACACGGGCGCTGTGTATGGGAGGATGCCCACGCAAGTGCAGGGTGACACCCCTACTGTCCACATGTGGGAGGCCCGGGAAGAAATCCACCTCACGCCCACGCGCCGTACAATACCACGAAACAATACCTTAGGGCTGACAGTGTAGCAAGACCAACGGGGAATCTGGCGTGGTGGCGCACACCTCTAATCCCAGCACTCAGGAGGCCGAGGCAGGAGGATCGCTGCCAAGTTCAAGGCCAACCTGGGCTATGTGGCAAGACCCTGGCTCAAAAAACCAACAAACCAACCAACCAAACAGACAATTTTGTATTGTTTCTTATTTTTATTTAGTGCAAAATTTTAAAAATGCCAATACTGTATAACAAGCTGGCTCACAGGCTTAGCTGTTGCCTTCCATCAAAGCAGTACACATTCTACATTTCTTTTTCTTTTTTCTTGCTTTTAGTATATATGCAGCCGAAGAGAACATGTGTTTGTGTGTGTGTGGGGGGGTGAGACAGGGTCTCGCTATGCGGTACAGGCTAGCCTTGCTTATGTAGCCCAGACTGGCCCCAAACTCGCATCCACCCTCCTTCCTGCCCCAGCCTTCCTCGTGGTGGGATCAGAGGAGTGCGCCACCACACCCAGCGGATCTGCTTCAGTCTGTCCTTTCAGTCCTGATGAAATAACACTCCTTGGCCTTCCAAACACAGTGATTTTATGGTTCACACAGCCCGGAGTGGGGGAGCACTGGATAAAGGGGCGGCCTCCGCAGGACGCGGCAGGGAGAGCCCAGGCCGGGCCGGCTTGCCCCAGCCAGTCACTTCTGGCTGGCTACTTCCGGATGTCGCTTCCAGGTGGTCACTCCCGGAGGTCACTTCCAGGTGGTGAGGCCAGCCCTCCCGGTGTCTCGTGAGCGGCCCCCTTTGGGCCCTGGCGTCTGGCCTGCGCGACTTCTGAGCTCCCTATCGGCACCATCCCCCTGGGCCAGCTCCTCGTCGTACCTGGGAACAGAGGTCTCCAGGGTCATCAGGAGCCCTTGCTGGGAGGTAGCGGCAAAGATGTCAGCAGAAAGTGGCCTGGCTGGGCCCCGGGTCCTGTTCCTTCCCGTCCCAACTACAGCCTGGCACAAGCGGCTTCTACAGTCCATGAGACACCCAAGGCCACCGAGACTGAGGCCACCTGGTTAAGGTGCTATTATAGAGCCTTCTGCTAGGTGACATGGGGACAGGCTGCCGGCCAACATGGCAGTGACCACAAGGAAACATGTGCGACAGGCCAGCAGCCGGGGGGGGGGGGACCACTCACACCGCCCACTGCTCCACATGCAGCACCCAGCCCACTCAGCCCGGAGTGGGGTCAGCGACCTGCCAGGAGGGGCCTGGGACAGGCACGGGACACTCGCACTTCTCCCTGCCTGAGCCTGGCAGCCCTGGCTGGTGGCCGTGGCACCAGGAAGGTCCCACCCTTCCCTGCCCTTCCGCTGTGCTGAGTGCTTTCCTGAGGTCTCTGAGGGGTGGAAGGGTGTCACCCACACCTGGAGCAGCTCCTGGGAACATGGCCCTTCCTTGGGGGACGTCTCATTTCCTCCAAATTAGAGGTATGGAGGCCTTGGGCTGCTGCCTGCGCCCCCAGGGCGCACAGGAACAGGAAACTGGAGGTGCAGGTTCCTTGGAGTTCATGTGCCCGGGGCCACACTGGCACTGCTCCCCCCACTGCCACCACCTCTGGGGGTCACACAAGGCCAGCATTCTGCATCTGGCTCCTCCTGGGTCTGTTGTAAGATTTCTCTTCAAACCAGGTATGGTGGCATACTCCTGTAGTCCCAGCACTGAGGAGGCTGAGGCAGGAGGATCATCAAAAGCCGAAAGAAAACGGAAAAACGCTCCCCAGAGCCCTGGCCTACTTGACATGGTCTGTCCATCCCAGAAAGGCAGCTGGAAGAAGGGCCACAATGGCTCTGTCCGCAGGGGCCAGGATCCCCACAGCTGGGGCCAGGCTCCCTGAGGCCAGCTGCCGGCCAAGTGCCCAGGTCTATGTGGCTGTGAGGCGCTCAGGCACGCGTGCCCCAAGTGCCCCGTGTGGGTCTCTGTCCCCGGCTCAGGCTCCAGCTCCTCCTCCCCTCCTGCTGGGGCCAGCCCCTCCCTGTCAGCGGTGCTGGAGTCCCCAGTGTCATCCTGGGGTGGGAAAGGACAGCTCAGTGGGTACAGGCCAGATCGGGCCGTTCTGCCTCCCCTACTAGTGCCAATGGAGCTTTTGACCCCCGCTGCTTTATTTTACTTTTGGTTTTTGAGATAGGGTCTTCCTCTGTAGTTCAGGCTGGCCCCAAACTCATGGCAATCCTCCTGCCTCAGCCTCCCCTGTGCTGGGCCTACCAGAGTGCGCTGCTGGCTTCTTCCCTTCTTCCTCCCTTTCTTCTACAGTATGGAGGGGGTTTCCTGAAGCTGTTCTGTCTCTGCAGCACCAGGCCTCCCCTGAGCCCTGGGAGCGCTCCACCGTCACTCCAGGTGGCCTCCCGCGGCTCTCGCTCTATTCTGCGTCCCTCACTCCCACAGGCCCTGAACTGCTCTGGGCCTGTGTCCTCCTCTGTACGAAGAAGCTAGGGACACAGGAGCCTCTGGCGGCTGGGAACCGCTTCTTCCTTTGGGCTCTAGTCACACTGCAGTGCCCACAGTGGCCACAGCTGCAGGCCCACGGCTCCAGGGGAAGCGGGGTATCCTCCCCACCCCCTGCTGTCCCCGCGGCCGCCGGGCGATGGCGCTGGTGAGCACCACGAATGCTCACTACTGGGGTCAGTCGTCTGGCCCCAGCAGGGCTCTGCCCACACACGGTGCAGCCACGTGGCCCTGGAAGCCCCGCCCTGGCCTCGGCTTGGAACACAGGGACAGATGAGGTGTCCTGCGAACTTACAGAATTTCGTAATTGCCGAGCACCTCCTTCGGGGGTGACTTGTTCCATTTGCAGTCTGGGATCTCGCCGTTGGGGACCGCAATGTTGAGGGTGTCGTTAATCAGATTGTACTTAAGGATTCGGTCGTTGGCCGTGCTGGAGGTGAGAGACGGGGACGCGTTAACCTAGGAGAGGAAAACACAGGCTTCACGTGAGCTGCTAGCTCCGGGGGCGTGGAAACAGGTGCCGCGGGACAAACACGGTTGTCGCCCCCTCTGGGTAGAATTGTCACCTTTCAATGTGAAATTCTTTTTATGTTTTGAGACAGGGTCTTGCTACTCAGTTCAGGCTGACCTTGAACTCACTATGTAGCCCAGGCTGGTCGTGACCTAGCAGAGATCCTCCTGCCTCAGCCTCCTGAAGGCTGGGACCGATGAGTGTGCACAGCCATGCTGAGCAATCAACCCTGTCCTAAGAACCAGGTGTCCCAGGCTTTGGCGACCAGCAGGCCCTGGCTGTGCAGCAAGCAGTGTGGGTTTAAGGACACTAGATGGCGCCCTTGTCCCCTAAGAACAAAACTGCGGCGGGCAGGCCTACGTGTAGTTCCAGAGAGCGACGGTCCTGGAACGTGGGAAGTTGGTCCGGTCCCAGAGGCCTCTGCACAGGGCCCTGGGCTCGGAGCTGATGTCTGTCTGTCTGGGAGAGGGCCAAGGCTGGGGCTCCCGCCGCAGGCCGCTCTGGCCCAGGTGAGGCCGGTTTCCCTCCTGGTTATGGCCTTGCTGCCCCAGCAGCAGATCTGACGCCCAGGGCCAAGGATTTCAGCACCTGGTTCTGCCGAGAATTACAGAGCAGTAATCCTCATGGGCAGTGCGTGAAGACTGACCGGCAGCTACAGGCAGGCCGGAGGGGATGCATTCTATGCACCCGCCAACTCCCTACCGCGAAGGTGCTAATGAAAACTAGAAATTAAAGACAGACAGACTCGCTACTACACTAGGGAACAGTCAGGCGAGATGGCGATGCCCGCATCCAGCACTCCGGGAGGCTGAGGCAGCAGGAGGGCAAGTCTGAGCCAACCCCGGGCAGCTCAGCCACTCAGCAAGGCAGGTCTCAAATAAAACAGTAAATCAAGGCCCAGGGACGAAACTCCGTGTGATGACTCCGTCTCTGTCCCCAGGAGCAAAAAGAGGAGGGGGAAGCCGGGTCTGTAACCCAGCAGCCTGGGAGGCTGAGGCAGGAGGATCACAAATTTGAATGTAGCTTGGGCAATTTCCCAAGACACTGTCTCAAAATTAAAACAAAAAAACAAACAAACAAAAAACCCCAGAAGGCCCTGGGGATGAGGCTCAGTGTGAAGGCCCAGTACTAGAACCAAAACAAAAATAAACCAACACAGCCAAACAACTCCACAAGCCAAAGAATCAGAGTACACCTTGTCCCTGGACAGCAAGGCCAGGGCCTCAGAGTGGTGAGTGCCTCTCCCAGGGGAAGATGTCCCCAGAGGTCAGGTGCAGGGCTGCTGAAGTGGGGAGCAGCTGGAAACCCCATAACCACATTGCGCCAGTCACCAGGCTCCTTGGAAGACGGATGCAACACACCCCTGCAGATGGAGCTGCTGAGGACGAGGGACCGAGGTCAACTCGGCCACCAACAGAGCGACAGACCTGGACACCTGTCTCTGTCCTCCTGTCCCCGTCCCTGCTGGCCGGGCACCACTGAGCCCAGTGCAGGGCAAAGCCCCGTGCCTGGAAACGGGCCCACGCAGTTACCTCGATGAGCCAGGGCTTCAGCTTGTCGTCGATGATGATGTCGTAGCCGTAGCATTCAAAGCAGTGCTTGTCATTGTTCATCACTGGCTGCAGAGAGAGGGACCTGCAGGTCACAGGTGGCCCAGTGACTCACAGCAGACCGCCAGGTCGGGGTGCAGTTGGGGGAGCAGGGTCATGACCAGGGACTCCTGGGAGACACCACAGTGGCAGGTGGAAGATGCTGCTCCGGCCATGGGACAGAAGCCCCTTCCTCCACTAGCTTGGGGACCGGGCCCTCGTGGGCTGTCTTACAAGTCACAGGGTGACAAGAGCCCTTGGGGATCCAGGCTGTGCGGCCAGAGCAGGGGCCTGGCACGCGCAGATCCATTTGTGCCTGTGATGCCAGCAGACTGCAAACAAACGTACGATCTGTGCTGAGAGGACAGGGATTTCTGGGCCTAAATATCCATGAAGTGGCAAAGTCAAGGCGCCTCAAAATGAGGTTCCTGAAAGCCCCCCACACACAGCCTGCTCTTGCTTTCCTTTTTTTTGGTACTGGGGATTGAACCCTGGGCCCTTGCACTAATCCACAGCCCAGCCTGCATAAATTTTGAGACAGGGTCTTTCTATTATTATTATTTAAAACCTTTATTAACAGATGCTTGCAGTTTGTTGACTTTTTTGAAAAAATTAAGTTGTAAGCTTTTATTACAAATTAGAAATGAAGTTCTTAAAAATCTCAACTTGACCTCATATGAAACAATTTAAAAACTTTTAAAGGTGTATTGAGAAAAACCAGGCTTTTTTTAAAAACATGTTTGTCATTACCAAAAAGAGACATCTGTAGGTAAAAATAATAAAAGCCCCAAGCTGCGCAGATAATGCAGGTAGTTCTAGTTATCTGGTCAACAGGCAAAAAGCAAGCACTGAAGCTCTTCAGTTCCTATCTTTTTTCATTTCTTATTGCCGGGATTTCCTATTCGTTTCTTTCTTGCTGGATGACTAACCGGATGATGGTAGAGGTGTTGAGCCAGCATTTGCTCAGCCCCGCCCTGCTCAGCCTCGGGAGGGGCCAATTCTCAGCTGGCGGATCGGCTGTGCCAGGGTCTCGCTAGGAGGCCCAGGCGGGCTTCAGCTTGCCACGATCCTGCCTCCGCCTCTCGGAGGCTCCACCACGCTCAGCCAAAGCACTGGCTTCTGTTTTGCTCTGTCTTTTTGGCAGTTTCCCTATGCAACTCAGGCTGGCCTCCAACTCCGTGTCATCTTGCCTCAGCCTCCCCAGTGCTGGGGCGACAGGGGTGCCACCATGCCCTGCCTCAAAGCATCAGTTCCTGCTGGAATAACAGCTGGCATAAGGAGCGCTGACAACGCTGCCAGCAGGGCTGGGCGCCCCCGAGGACCCAGGGCCTGCAGGTGGCCCAGCCCTCGAAAACTCCCTCGGCCCCCAGCTGACCTGCAGGAAGTGGGCATCCTGAGCAAAAGAATTGCAGCCACTGTGGCCACTTCCGGGCCCAGCTCACAGCCTCCAGGGCTCGGCCCACCCGCCTGGCAGCCACTCACCGCCACCGCCTTCAGGGACTGCACCACGATCCAGTGCATCTCGTCGAAGAGCTTGCTGGTCACCTCCCGGCCGCGGGTGCTCTCCAGGTAGAGGCGCAGGTTGCTCACTGTCCACTTGCCCCCGTGGATGTGGTTGTAGTCCTCCTGGAACAGAGTGGGCCGGGCACGGGCAGGGTGTGAATGAGGCCACTGAGCACTCGCATCTGAGACACTCCCGAGGGCTCCTGGGGAGGCTGGCCCACTGCACATGCCTGCAATCGCAGCAGCAATCCCAGCATGCCGGGAGGCTGAGACAGGAGGATCTCAAGTTCAAACCCAGCCTGGACAGCTTAGTGACTGCAAGACTCTGTCTGAACAAAAAACTTGAAGGCGGTTAGAGATGTAACTCGGGGAGGAGGCCTGAGGTCAATGGTCCCCAGTATAGCAAAAATAAATATAACACTCAGCTCTCGGATAGTCTCACAGTGACTGTTTGTACTGTGAGCCCCTGCTGCAGAGTGTGGCCTAGGTCCCCCAGCAAGGTCGCTGACTCTCAGGCACGACCCTCTGGGAAGCTCCGCTGGCTCCTGCCGCTGCAACCCAACAATGCTGGCTGCTGGCATCCAGCCTCCCCACTATCCCAACAGCTCCGCAGGGCACCAGGCTCCACAGCGCCCTCTGGTGGCCACTGCAGCGCTCACAACAGCTGCAGCACAGCTGGTCTCTGGCTTTCAGCCCCTGTTGGCCTTGACCTCAGAAAGCTCCAGATTGCTGATTTCTGCCTCAGCCAGCCACCTGGACAGCCAGCTCCGGGCACACCTGCACCACACACCAGGGCATGCAAACACCACAGTGCAACCTCTGAGCCCCGCCGCCATCCCGCCCGTGGGTGAAAAGCTGATTCTGGGGGCTGCCACCGGCCCGGCCTCGTCTGAGCTGGGTTGCAGGGGCACCAGCCCGGGGTCTCATGCCTGCTCCCTCCTCCTCCCCATCCCCACACATCAATCCCCCACAGCCAGTCTGTCTTTGAAGGCCCAGCTGTCTGAGACTGGGGTTCAGTCTTCGTTGACTTTTTGCTTGAGAACTTCAAACACAAACAAAACAGCCTAGTTACAAACAAAGACCACCGGCTTGGAATAAAGACAGAATTAACTACATCTTCTGGGGGAGAGGGGCAGGAATCAAACTCAGGACCTTGCACTTGCCAGGCACGCCCTGTGCCCCAAGCTATATATCACCAACCCAAAATTAACTTTATCTTTTAAAAATACCTCTACAAGGAAAGAGATAAGGAATTCCTTTTTTAAAATATCAGTTTTTATGAAAATAATTCAATAAACTGGGCGTGGTGGCACACGCCTGTGATCCCAGCACTCTAGAGGCTGAGGCAGGATTGTGAGGCGGAGCCCAGCCTTGGGCAACTTAGCAAGACTTTGACTCCAAATAAAGAGGGCAGAGGGTGTCACTCAATGTGAGGGCTCTGGGTTCAAATCCCAGCACCACACACGCACAGGAAAAGGGCAGCATCAGAGAGGGGCACAGCTCGGGTGGTGAGTGTACCCGGCACAGGCTCTTCCTCCAACGCTGAAAAACTACAACAGCAAGACCAGCGTTCACACTGCTCAGAGGCAGCATTCAGTGAGTTAGGAGGACCAAATGCATTTTGATCTACAATATTCTCAACCTAAGAAGTGTTCAGGGGGATGCAGCCCTATCTTAGGTCAGGGGGCACCTGTGACACTATTTTTTCTTTTTTTTTTTTTAATT